AGATCACCTCGGAAACAGCGTCAGCATGAATGTTCCAGTAAAGCCAATCGACAGCTGGTCAAGAGGAATACATATTTCCGTTTGAATTGCCTGTTTAGGTGCACTTAAAAAGCATAGATTCTACAGCTTAATCACACGGAAGATGAGATAGGCTATCTCCACGATCGCGTAGAATAAGAGAAGCTTCTACAAGCAGAACTTCATAAAGCTCTGGTCTTGTGAGACTATTTGACCTTGTCAAACCCAACAAGATTACGTGACAGCATTTGCTATTTTTAGTTCGGCTACTATTACTCGCTTCCATTTTGCGTGCTCTGATAGCGTGTGAGGCTGTCTCACTGCTCTCTGGCCGGGAATAAATTGTCTTATCCGCCCAATCTGTGCTCGAGGACGTTTTCGGTAGAGCCAACAGCCACTGTATGCTCAAGATGTGATTGATTATTTAAATAATAAATATGCCTTTTTGACCAATTTCTCGTGCCAGTCTCTGCATGTTTGCATGTCTGGGGGGAGGTGTAATGTGAAATAATAAGTGTGGGCTATTTGAAATGATTAATTTGATAAAATTGAAGATCTTTTTCTCTCACTTACTCAGCGTCTGGATGGCTCACTCACTTGGCAATCTTAGAGACTATCAGCGACACTTGAGCACAAACATGCTCAGTCTAGCTGGCCTGAGGTGATTTGAGCACTGATGGACGCATTTGAGTAGGATCAGATGAGTAAGTCTCAGGCTCCCATTGGATCTTACTTAGCCTTGTTCCCCGAAATCATGTCACCTTCAGGCAGGACTCCAGCTACGACCTTGCATGAACTGGGATATTCAGGATCGCAAGTGTCGTGACGATGCTACCGCTCCACTCCGCTCAACTCGATCACAGTCTACTCCACCCTACTCCATTACACGCTTTTATAATCCACTCAAGTTCACTTCACTTCAGGCCATTCTACTCCAATACAACGAATTCCAGTGTATCTAAGGGCAGATGTGCGATCGAAAACGAGTAAGGCAGAATTGTCGAATCCGATCTATTTGCCAGTGCAACCAAAACGGTTAGCTAAATTTCATGCTATTAGCCCTAGAGATGAGAAATCAGGGTGTTAGGAGGGAACAAATTGAAACTGATTCGTCTTGACCAGATGGGAAATTTTTTTAATGAGGCCACAATAGGAAAAAGCTCTTTATTAGTTGACACATTAACGACTAGATATACAAATAGTATATATATAAATATAAATATAAATATATATTATATTACCCAGTAGGAATCTGTCTATCGATAGATGAAGTCGACCTATGGAAGATAAATGCAGACTTTTGGTGTCCTCGTGCAGGATCAGACATGACTACTGCTGAAACTGTGAGTATATTCTAAATGTGAACTTTAGTCATCTCGGTCTGCCTATGGTGACTTAAGGACAGCTTGCTGTCTTTTATCTCGCAATCAGATGCCATTGAG